GGGGGGACAGTTTGCTGTGCATCTGGGCATAGCCAGAGGTTCCAGTGTCATCATTTTGGAGCAAACGGGGAAGAACAGTAGATACAGAGACAAAGATGTGTGTGGCTTGTGTCCTGAGCATCACTGCTGCGTGGAAGGAGGACCGGAGAAACTGGACTCAGTCATTAATATGAGGATTGTCTCCAAGCAGTTCATTCAAGCAGGGATGGATGTCATTTACTCAAGAGATGCTGGCAGGTAGACAATTTCTACACTGTGTTGACAGACAATGAAACTAGGAGATAATGATTTCTGCCTTCTTCTCAGGTACCTGTGCGATTTTGCATATTACTGCTCACTGTATCATGGTCAGAGAAGAGCAGCTCTCATCCATGTACCATCATCTGGCAGCCTGAGCTCAGCTGAAAGACTGGTACCTCTACTGCAGACCCTCATTCAGGCCATGCTCAACCAGCTGAATGACTCGTCCCAAATGGCATGACAGGCAGCAGTCACACTGAGGTAGATCTACTAACTTCACAGCACACACAATGTTTCACAGAATGATGTGGATGACAAACCACAGCCTCAGATGGAATTAGAAAGAACAAAGAGTCAGATCTCATCCATTTATTTATGTAAAATTTCAGAGAAGAAAAAAAAAAGGAAATGCAAGAAATTCTCAGATACACATTTGGCAATGGCATGTCAAAATACACCATCTCAGCTCTAGGTGTGAAAAAACTTTGAGGCTTCGGATAAAGAGTTTGAAACAAGATAGTCTAGTGAAGGCTTTTGATTGTTTCTTTCCACCCAATTATGTAACGACCACAAAGATTTCGTGAAAGTATTATAAGAGAATAATTAGTAGTAGACCAAGGCCCCCCTCAGAAGGTATAGGAATGCAAATCATACAAACAGAGGCATGATAATGATAAACCTCAAACTTATTATTGCAGTTTGAACGCAGTGACATCCTCCATAAACCTGAGGTTTGTATGAAGAACATTCTGAATTAAAATGATAGATGACTACATTGAATATTTCTTTAGTGACTGTAGATTTAGGCTGAAAATCTTGTAACACAAAAAAAGCAACAAGTGAGGCTGGAAATGTAGGCCTATCATTTTTTTCTAATCACACTGTTTATCCCTAACCCTTTATTTACCACACCCAACTGTAATCTAAAGTCCTGTCCTGTGTATTTCCATACATCTATTTAAATGCTGTAATTTTGACATATTTGTGATCTAATGGTAACTAGTAATTCAGCAGCAATTCTCACAACAGATCAATGTAATGTCTACTCCCAGAATGGAAAAGCTGAAATATATATATATAAAAAAAAAGTCTTATTACATACATTCCAACTAGAAAAAACATAAATGCACAGATAAAGTAACAACACATTCTGTTTACTTGTCAATGGGGATTTCTGTACCAATGTGATATTCAAAAGCAATCACTGATTTTCAACCAAATTCATTATTTTCTTAACTTATCCACAGATAAATTGCTATAAAAATCACCCAAATTTCACATTACAAGTTACCCAGTGGCCTATTCATAGTTCCATTTTTTTAAATGGCATATAGATATTAATTTCCACACAGAAAATGATTTTTTTTTTTTGCCTCAGGCCCAGAAACCCTTGCGATGAGACTTATCTCCATGTAGCCACTGTGAAGCTTTGAGATGTACCAGCTGCATGGCCACCTTTATACTTCATTTTTTGATGATAATATTAGAACAGCTGAGGTGACTGTTTAGACCAGTAGTATTATTCTAAGCATCAGGAAAAAAAGATGTGCAATGTTAACCTCCAAATGATCAAAAAGCCTGAAACAGCCACTAAGAGATTCCCCCTGCTGATTTAGACTGTGATGGCATTCAGCAGGTAGACTCGAACAAGGGACGTGAGTGCTTGGAATAAAAAGGTTATGAAATCTTAACCATCTTAGTGACAAGAACAAAGTTTCTCTTGCTGCTTCGATTCTGTCATTGACAAAGTTTTCCATTCAGGGCTAAAGGTAGAAACGTAGGAGGTGGAGTTGCTATCGCTATATACGTTTTATATAGAAAGTACAGAAATGTCCTTGTTAAACTCACAGCACTGATCCATATCTATACTCATTGTAATGTTTGGAATAACCTAAAGTTGTTTAAATGTGGAGTTGCGTTCTAACCTTACAGCATTACAGACTGCAGGGTAAACGCCGTTTTCTTAGAGAGCAAGAAAACATTTCCCTTTTTAAATCTTCCTCATGATACACGTACAGACATCTATATAATTGCATTTTAAATGAGAAAATGAATTTGTCTTTTGAGGAGTTCAGGTTGTGACAATCTGCTGGAAGTCAGTGGAGATGGAATGTCTGATGTTGTTGTTCCCCGGCCTCTTGTCATCATACACTGTACTGCACCCGCTCTAAGGCTTAGAAGACTGTAATCTATCCAGTCAAACCAGAGCCTGAGTGGTGAAATGTTTTCTTACATTAATACCCAACAACAATTTAATTTATCGAAGGCCGCAGCATACAGTCATTTCCTTTTGTAGACCCGATACTCAGAGGTATAAATGTACTTTTCGTCAGAGACTGGTAGGCTGAACTTAACAGCATTTAAATTCCATCTCCTGTCCTAGTCTGCTTTGTGAGGTTTACCTAGACCCCGTAGCGGTCCTGTTTCTATACAAACTGATAAGAAAAGTGAGATGTATTTGTTTTCAATACATATACATACATTTTAAAAAAAGTGAGGTAGATATATACTTGAAGGAAAAACAAGATTTCTTTTTAAGATCCCCAGTCCTGACACCAAAGAAAATACATAGAAAAGAACCCAACTTTATAGTGAATCATGGAGCATTTATACAGTGATTTTAAACTGATATTACAAAAGGAAAAGTTTAAAATGTATATATAAATAATAACACTCCTATAGGGAGGGGAAAAAAAAAATCACTAGGCAATATTCCAAAAGATGAGAAATCCTTCAAAACATGTTCACTATTCAGCCTCTATTTTAAGACCTTTTCCATCCCTTCCCTGGTCTTTAACCCATCCGTTATTTGGTTTTCAGAAGCAGTGATTATGAAGTCAAACGATAAGACCTGTTTTCATTTTGAAGATTTAACACAAGCAGAAGTGACGGTGTATTGCGCGGGAGAGTTGAAGCAAGCAAACAAACAAAAAACAGATTTTGAGTGGTTGAGAGATGGTTGGCATAGTTAAGGCAAACAACATAACCCATTTAGCCCTATTGATTCAAAAAGAGGCAGGAAATGGATGGGTACAGTTGGTCAGTGAGTCCAGAGGAAATGGAGAGGGCGCGTTTGGATTTAAAACATGATAGTTTGTGTATTTTGGTGGGGGTGTCAGCATATAAAATGAGAAATGCAGAGGATGACCACGTGAATGTGTGGAGAAAGCGAAGCCTTTACTTTGACCTGAGACTGAGTTGCGCCTAGAGAGGGCAATGCTAGGCGCAGCGCTAGATAACAAGTAAAAAAAAAAAAGGGTGCAGAAAATACACGCTCACACGTAGAGCTAAGGTGTCCATTCCAAATAATAATATAATAATAATTAATAATATAGACATCCACAAAACAAACACAGAAAAACATTTCATAAAAATAAAAGGCAATGAACAAAATGTAGTGTTACAGAAAAGCCTTTTGGGGGAATAGAGAAAAAAGGTTTTATATCTAAATCATCTTGTATAAAATTTTTTTTTTTTTTTTACAGCGTTTGAAGATATAAGAAATGGACTGTCGTGGAGACCATGATACCAAACCTGAAGGATCATCTTAGCATCCAAAAGAGAGAAAAGAAAAAAAAAATAGCAGCTTTTTTCTGTACAGACGTCGAGCCAAACTGTAAAAAGGTTTAAAAGAGTGACAAATCCAATGGTGTGTATAAAAAAAGCGGTCCTGCAGTCTAAAATACAACTGTAAGAGCTTTGTATTTGAAATGTAGAGAAACAGACTTTTCTGAAAGAGACCTGCTGCGACTTAAACCCCGTCTCTGGGCTACTGAAGTCTGATCCAACGCCACCTCGTTTTCTGACGTGGGGCTTTGATTCTATTTGTTGTGATGTATTTGGTGCCACTTAATTTGAATTCGAACACCTCCCACATGAAATGCAGACTTAAATATGTCAGATAAGAATAAATGAAATCGGAGGCAAAGTCATATCTCTTGATTCAAGTTTTGTGATTTGCATTGTGGGACTTCAAACGTCTTTTAGTGAGGCTGTGATTCAGACTTCGCTGACTCAAGTCACGTGCGCTTCCCTCAGATATTCAAGATACAACATACCTACCAATTATTTTCTCAATTAACTGTTTGGTATATGAAATGTTAGAAAATAGTGACAAGCTGATGTTTTCAAATTGCTTGTCAAAATCCAAACATCCACCGTTTTTCCACACAGGACAAAAAAGAAAAAGCTGGAACCAGTGAAATGACTTAAGCAGTTAATGGATTACCAAGTTATTTCCAAATTAAATTTCTGTCAAGCAAATAGTTGCAACTAATCTGTATGCAAAACAATTAAACTTTAATACATGTTTTTGATAATCCAGTTTGGATGCAAGTTCAGTTCATCAATTCAGATTTTGTATTTGCTTGTAGAATCTTGTCATAATTTCATTTTAAGGCTAGAGGTTGCTTAACTAAATATTTAATTGATATTACAATATTATTAATATTAAATTTGATTAGAGGCCTTTGCTTACATTTCAAATTCTGAATGAACTTATTTTGTGTTGCATTTCTCTTTATGGTTTGACAGTGCTTGCTAGGCTTACTCCACGCCTGGAGCAGATATAGGATATTCTGAGAAAACGTCGACTGCAGATGCGAAATCAGCACATCTCAACATTAATACTGTATTCTGTCCTGTTATAACCCCTCCACACACAGCTGCTCCAGGAGCAGTTAGTATTAAACGTAAGCATCAGCTCAACTCTGAATCACAGCCTTAGAACTAGAAGGGAGATCTGTAAAAGAGATCTGCAAAGTGGAGGAAAGAAAAGTTTGATTTGGCAATCATTTGGCAGATACACAAGGCCCTCTTCCATTTTGGCCCTCTTCCATTTTGACCCACTTCTGACAGGATCTACATCCACAGAAATGTCAACAGGAACATTTAATTGACAAAATCTTAGTCCAAACTTCCAAATTGAAGCATCCTCCCATAACATGAGCCAGCCAGCTCAGTTATTTTGATGGAAAGTCATTTTAGAAATGGAGTTAAATCATAATATAGAGAGAATCCTGTGTTTGTATAAATACAGAATCAGATATCCACAACTTCCTCTGTTAAATCATCAGGAAAAAAGTGCTCTTCTATTGGATTTGCTGGCAGATATGGTGAAAAAGGATTTTCTTTTAAGTTCATGTCTAAATCTCTAAGCCAGGATACATGCCTGTCTTGTTTAACTTCTTGAAAGGCTTATGTAACAAAGACTTAAATACAGGCTGCACAGGAAGGAGTTTGCCAGTGTTGTGTCTGAGCCACCAAACTCCAAATGCTATTCTGTGCTGTTTTTCAGTTTTTACTGTTTATGCTTGACCTTAAAGGAGTGGAGAGATTATCTACTGGCACACAGCAGAAGTGAGTCCTTTCTTACCTCACCCATCCCTTCTTGAGAGATGGAGTAGAGGTTTGTGTTACCCTGTGTATGAGGAGGAGGAGGGGGTGCAGGGGCTGGTCTGATATCAGCAGGCCGACGACTGGGGCAGTGGTAACGCCCGTTCGTTCTTTTTTCCCCCATTCATGTGTGCATAGGGTTGCATCTCATCAAAGTTGGGCCGCAGCACCACCACTGGCCCGTTGGCCGAAATATGTCCTGAGTGCTTTTCCGAGGCTTGGCCTGGAGATGCCAAGGCTGAGGCACCTGGGCCCGGGGAGGAGGGAGAGACAGGTCCCAGTAAGGGGGTACTTGAGCCTTGCATGGGGGATAACTGCTGGGAAGGAGAAGGCGTCCCTCGTGTACACCCGGACAAGGGTGTGGCAGCAGCAGAGGGCTGCATGGTGGAAGCAGGGTCCAGTGGAATGTTCTCCATGTTTTCTACCTCCATGTCCAACTCCACGGTGTCCGGAGGCTTGTTGTCTTCACTGAAGAAAAAGCTCATTTCCTTGAAGGTAGGATCCAGTTCATCTTTGATGCCGTTGATGATCTCCGGAAAGGATGGACGCATTTTGGGGTTATATTGCCAGCACATCCTCATCAGCTCAAACCTGTAAGTACATACAAAGGGTGAGTAATTTACACTAGATTTTGGGGGTTTTGTTTTTAAAGTACGGTTTAATTTTTCCCCCAACCCTTAACACAATAGTCTCATATTTTATACTCTCACCTCAGGACTTTGTAATAAGACAATCATAACCTCAGAGGATACCAACTTAATTTACCTTTTTACCTTTGGCTGAGCTAAATGAATACTTTGGATTTTGTCCCCATCTCTTACAGTGTAATTTTATCAGGAAGGGAACAATTAACAGCCAGTATGGACAGGAGCAATTATTACATGAGCATGGGACAGTCATTGACTTTATGCTTCAAAGTGGGAATACTTAGCATTTCTCACCAGCAGGTGGCAGAAGACACCAACATTTAAACCCATTTCATTCCTCTTACACTAAACATTAGTTTACCACATTAAACTTTAAAATACTGTGTATAGTACAGTAAAATACACAAATATACTACAGCTCACCAAATTAGTAGCGTTAACTACAGATGCTTTGATTCATTCCCCTGTCGTTTTTGAAAAACCATTCTGTGTCTTTCAGAACAGTAAAACCAAACATAAAATAGCAACAACAAAGTGATGCATCCAAAAATACTGTACAGCCACAAACATTCATGCTTTTAAAATATTTCAATGTTAAATCTGTTGTCTGGCAATAGTTTAATAATGAGAAGAATGTGTTACATCACAAATACCTGCCTTTGATTAATTTCATGCAGGTTTCATTCTGCTCTAATACTGCTTACTGAAATGCTACATGACTGAAGTAGTGAACAAAGTACAAATAGATGCAGACATATTCCAAACTTGCTCTCAGCCACAACAGTTTTAGTTGTAAACATATGTTAGTAACTTCAAAAACTTGTTTTTAAAAGTCAGTTCAACTGAGATTATTACTACGTGACTGCTGTAGGATCAGTAATATAGCATGTGCTCATCCGCAGAGTAAATCTTATGTAAGGTTACTGTGCCAAGGCAGCAGCTAAGCAAGCTATGGGAATGTCAAAACAACATAAAAGGAAGGATTATTACAGTGTGTGTGCTGCTACACCGCACCCCACAACAGCTAAGAATACTCTTAAGTCTGCTGACATAAACACCTCGGTCATCTCTGCTCTATTATTGCTGTTCCCTCTCTCTTGTTTTCTTTCTTTCTCTCCCAGTTGTCTCTCTGCAGTCTACAACAGGCTCTGCAGCTGGGCGCCAGCTCCTCTCCACACAGAGGAATTATGGGTAGAACTTTCCTAAGCACGCGTCTGGCTTAACACTCTGAAGCAGCAGGGGGGCAGCTCTGACTTGTTTTTCAGCAACGCAGCAAGTGTCTTAGAGTTGACGTTCAGATGTCCAAACCCCGGCAGCAAAGACCTCCCATGAAAAGATGTGTAATGCTTGGAGCTGGGCCGATGCTCCGGAGTAACCTGCCTACGTAGTCTGGCCTGCTCAAAATCCCCCCACCATCTGTTGCTCTGCATGAGGCTCACTGATGCAAATTTAGAAAACAAACACTGCAGTAACTCCTAACTTCTTGTCCTGTCAATCATGGCACATACAAGCATGCTGTTGCCATTAAATTAAGGTGACTTGTATTTGACCCTCCATTAGTCAAGTTAGCAGTACATGACAGCTCAGAGTGGTAGGTGAGCTCTGTACTATATAACTTTATTTACAGTAGCTTCTCAAAATCAAACAAACCCTTGTTATACTTTGTGCTGTCCCACAAATAGAGCTTTAACTTTAGGCATGACCAAGTCAGCACAGCAGATGTCTGCCTTGGTTCTGAACTCTCTAACACTTGATATCTTTGTTAATCTATATTAGGAGCTGAACAGCTCACAGAATTCATGCTTAGGTTCATATCATGGTTTTGGGGTCATAGTATTCGGATTGGTTCAGTGCGTTTTTGGTAAAGCGCCTTCCATTACCAGTTTTAACATCTTTATTTATTTGGCAGAAAACCTTAAATGTTTGCCTTAAAATTTGGGCTAAGACAAAAAGGAATATAAACGTCTTCACTGTCAACTCGCGCTGTTCATTCTATTTTCAGGTTCCTCGATTGCACAATGCTGAGTTTGTTCACGTTCATGGGCACAAGACAAGATCTACTGGCAGCAGCCAACAAACGCTGTACCCGGGACAGTGGAGGTAACATCTTTTTTTATTCACCAACTTAGAAATGTTTTTTTTTTTTTACACCCATCACGCAACAGAATTTCATTCTATCAAATGTGTCATTTGACACTGAGCACTTTTTTTTTTTATAAAGCTTCAGGCCTGCTTTTTATTTCCCCTCTTGGGCGTTTAGTGAGATGTATCTCCAGAGGCACGGTTCAAATCACTCAAATCTGTTCAGTCCATGCAACTCTGAGCAGTCTGGGTTCACTTTTCCCTGTTGTCTGTAGTGAATCGGGGAACATCAGTGCAATTAATGAATTCATTCATTAAAATGTGCTGATTTCTTCCCTATGAAACTATTTTTTATGTCAATCAGCCTGGTGAAGATCATTTGTCCAACTGCTGCTCTGTAACGATGGGCACGCCACTGTTGTCTCGTTTTCAGAAGCGAATTCCCAGTAAAGCCGTAGCAGATCAAAACAACACTGGTGGATCCTTTAACTGTACTTTGTCTTGTCCACTTGCCATTTGTAAGACTGACGGCTGCAATCAACATTTCATCCAAACCAATACGTTTCATTGGGTTATTGGTGCAAGGCTTTTTTTTCCCCCCCTAACAGCTTTAGATTTTTTTCTGGGCATGCCTCAACCTATTTCAAACTAGACAGCACTCAGAGAGTGCAACCTTTGCCAAGGGCAACTCACTTTCCCCATGATGGTAAAACAGACTTCAGTGAGTAGACCACAGGCAAAGCTGTGAAGACATCACATTTCTACAAGTTTGTGTTCGGTTTTGATAAACCGCTCATACTGGAGGAACAAGACAAGACAAAAAAAAAATGTCAAGACAGCCAAAGTTTCACTAGCCAAAGAGAAGGAAAAAAAAAATCCTTGAAAACACACAAAATCAGAAACAGATACTTTAAGGTGAAGTGTCTGCACAGCAGACGCCACACATCCATGGTGGATGTTAAACAGGAATCGCTTGCGACAGAACTACAAAACCTTACACACGTCCCCTGTGTAGTGAAATACTGATTTATAATAACGCTAAGTGATAACGCACATTCCACAATAAATCATGTTAAATATGATCACAGAGACTGCAATTCATTTTCACCCAAGCCTGTGTGAGAAATTCACCTTTGTCTAAAGGAAACTCTAGACAGAAACATGGGAAATCTAATCAGTGACCTACAACTACCTGATCATGGGAAACAGCACTAGGGAGACTCGTTCAAAGCTCTCCAAATATGACTCATCCCTCTCTGTTATCCTGCCCACATCCTCTTCGTGTATCTCGCTATTCAGTCTTTGTATGGACTTGTGGCTTAACTACACTGGAAATCTCCATTAACTACAGCAGAGGTGACCAGTGGTAACCGACTTCCCTGTGTGTAGCTCAGCGACCAGGAGGCTATCCCACCACCACCTCTGTAACACAATCCTCACACTCCTGTAATTGTGACAAAACAGTTAGGTTGCCATAGAAACCAAAGGTTTGTGTCAGCACAACACTCCTCCACAGCTCTTTTTTTCTACTCTCTCTCTCTCTCTCTCTCTTTCTAAGGTGAGGTCAGCCATAGAGAGTGGGAGAGCCGAATGCCTTCTTATTGAGGTCAGAGAAGGAGAAGAGAAATGCATATACGATCAGGCTGTGCTGTGTTTTCACTAACAGCCAGGGTGATTAATGAATTATAAATACATTAATGAATTCTTTCTGTCTCTCTCACTCCCTTTGCTGATGGACAGACACCATCTCCCTCCTCGTGCCTGTTCTCATGAAGGGCATCTTTCACACATGGGTCAGCGACATCCCTTCTATGGGCCAAAGCTGACGGAAGAGGAAGCTTCCTGCTGCCATTTGACCAGTAAGGCCTTGTCGTCAATGGACCACATTTAACCCGTGACGATAATGTCAGGCCTCATTCTGGCTCTAGGTTAGTATACACACCACATGATATCTTATACATTTAGAACTACAACTAAAAATAGACGCAGGTCAAAATATTGAGGCCAAAGGCGTGCAAGGTGGTGGCAGTGGAAGATAAAACAATACATCCTTCAAGGGTTATTTTAACATTGGTTTGAAAGACCTCGAATGGGTGATAATACACAGCTACTGATCACAGATAAAAAGAGACTCACAACATGTCAGGGCAGTTGTCAGGTTTGTCCAGTAGTCCTCCCTCCATGACGAAGCGCAGCACCTGTTCATTGGACATGCCCTGGTAAGGCTGTTCTGCCAAGGTGGCGATCTCCCACAGCACGACACCAAATGACCTGCGACACGAGATGAGATGACAAGATTATACATATTTACATTTGTGCCTATGTGATGTTAATGCTGCTTTACATTACATGCAACGTCAGAAAATGTTTAAGGTTGCTATAGGTAAAGCATATCAGTTTTATTCCTGCTAAATGTTGTCTTTTAAAAAGGAAGAAACTTCTCTCCTAGAATTTGACTATTACAACCAATTTATTGCACAGGTGTAGGATCACCAATTCTTGACTGTGAAGAAACATTTCAAACTGTGTGGTTTCCTTTTTATATCTTCGAAAATCTGCTTTCCTTCTTTAATTAGGTAATCCAGTACAGTGAGTCTGTCTGCTTTTAGTGTTATGAATTTATTATTAAAATATACAGTGTGTGTACTGCTTAGTTTGTTGGAGATTTCTGCCCCAAAGTGCCAATAAAAATTCTAATTAATGCTGCTTTAAATACTGCAACTTTAAAGTCCTACATCATCTACTGTACGAGTACCAATTTAATGGTAACCTGATGAGGTTTTCTGAGCTGGAAATGTTGTAGAACCATATGAGAGAACCAGCACTTAGCAGATATTTATCTTTATGTTACATACATCATGTTACACCAAGTATTAAGAATAATATAATTCATGTCAGTGATCACACTTTTCTGTCTTAATTACTGCAGACAAGTATAAAGTGTCGAGTAAACAAAAGTACAATTTGACCTTGCACTAAAATAACTATGAAACTTTTAACTTGACTGACAAAGACCTTATTATTTGTTCACCCTTGATGGTCATATTTTCACCACTAGCATGAGTACCAAAAGTATACAAGTCTTTAAAACTGTCTTCTTACAACACGTCTTATAAATGGATGAAAAAGGGTTAATCTTGCATTAAACTTCTTATGTGCAACATCAAAGAGGAAGATATAGTATACAAATGTGGAGGTGGGTTTGTGCTGGCACTGCAACCTCTCATTTGAGAACATCTGGAGCCTTTAAAGCCCACTCTTAGCAAATGACTCGTGGGACGCTGAGTTGGGAAAGAAAAACTTGCAAGAGAGCTAGTAAACATTTCTGTTTCTCTTGAAAAATATCAGAACTGGCAGACCTATGAGCTGAGATTTTACCGAAAGCTGAAGTAAAAAAAGATGTCAGTAAAAGAAAAAAAAGGTTTATCTTGTTCTACACCGTTTTGTTACACAGAGGAATTTCTAGAGAGCCAGCTGGAAACCAAAAGATTTTCATGGTTTTGGAAGCACTAGCACTCATAACAGGAAATGCATGTTCAAATTGTCAAGTAAAGACTGTTGCTAAGATTATGGGCCGTCAGGTGATCTGTGTGTATTTACTGCTTTGACTCCACAGTGTGAATGCTTTTAGTGCTACCGCACACACAAAGACAAGATGCAGACATCACTGAAATACTTTGCAAGCCCCCTGGATTGAGGCAGGTTTGAACATGTGTAAGGCAAGGTCATGTGTGCGTAAAAGAGTGGTGTGTTCTCATACCAGACATCAGACATTGTAGTGAACACGCCATCTTTCAGTGACTCTGGAGACATCCAACGAACAGGCAGCAAGCCCTTCCCTCCTTTTCGATAGTAATCTGTCTCATAGAGAGGAAGCTCCTGAGGGCTCGTCCATTCCCTTCAGCTCCTCTTTCCTCCTGTCCATCTACATTTGGACTCCACTGCCTCAGGCACTCACTGAAATCCAAACACTTATTTTTGAGGGTTCAGCATTAAGTGACCAGGGGCAGCTGAGGGCATCGTGTTAACTTGACTTACCTCCAATCTTCACAGTGAAGTCCTCTGCTACCATGCAGTTCCTGGCAGCCAGATCTCTGTGGACAAATTTGTTGGCATTTAGGTAGGCCATGCCATCGGCGATCTCCCCTGCCATCTGGATCATCTTTTTGAGTGGGGGTAGGACCTGGCTGGTGGCTTTCTGTCACAGACCGCCAGAGAGAAGATGAGATGAGAGAGTAAAAAGCACTAAAGATGTGTGTGTGTTCACACACTGGCTGTAAGAGACTGCTTTCACTTTAGCTGAAGTGTGTGTATGTGTGAAGATAAGCTGCTTACTTCTTTGCGCAGAGAGCGCAGGTGGCTCTTGAGATCTCCACGGGGCATCAACTCCATAATCACCAATGTTGGCTGTCCCTGTGAGACCACGCCTAGTAATCGCACCTACACCAATTACAATACAGCACAGGTCAGGTAGGATGAGTCAAAAGTTGTCCCAAATCCACACAACACGTTATGAGAATGTGTGTTCACAAAAGAAAAGGGACAAGAATAAGTATATTCAAAACTGTCAGTAAGGATACTTTTTATTTTTGAGTGTGCTGAAAAAAGGTAACAATGGAGAGTGGTGAAGAGATCTAGCAACACCTCAGAAAACACAATATAATCACACTTTTAGAAGAGCAGTCTCTCTCTTTCTAAAGTCACTGATTGATGTCCAGCAGTCCAGGCACTGTATCATTTCCTGTTAGTATAAGCAACAGTCTTTTCTAGCACTACCTTTGTACACACAGAATTTGTTGTTGTAAGTAATAAACAAAAGCTGGGGCGGGCGCATCAGATGCAGCATCAGTTGTCGTTTACTATGACACACTATATGAAATAAAAGGATCAAGAGTCGTGTCCGACTGCGTTTGTCGGTCCCGACGCCCTACGACCATTGGGTTGGGTTGTTATCGGGCTTAAATCATGTACTCTGAACCGAGCATGAGTTAAAACCTATTACTTGTTCCCTAAAAAGGCCTTAAATTTACACAGATTTTTAAGTTTTGGTGACTTTTTTTGTTGGTTTTACCTCTGGCAATTTAGTTCTTTCTTTTGTAACATTTAAGGTTATTGACTGGACTCAAACTGCCTACTGTAAATGGCATAAGTGGAAAAATTGCCGGTAATGAATATGATAAATACTGTGTAAAATTAGTCAGCAGTAAGTTGCAGCTCAAAAGCTCAAACTGTTCATATTTCACATCTTATAGTGGTAGGCTACTAGAAAAAAACTTCCTCTTTAACATGCTTTGAAGATTGTTAAAAGAAAAATATATTTCCTTTAAATTATTCAAATCAAATTTATTAATTATGTGTTTGGCTTTTTAGAAGGCAGACTTGATTTAAAAGGGGTTGTAACAGCAGCTTTCTAACAGGAGACTAACACATCCATTTAATGTACGTAATGAGGCTGTGATTGCAGCGATGAGACAATCTATTGTACATGGTCTCCAGGAGGCCGAACCCTGCCTCAGGCTGTAGCTGCCAGAGTAAAGACGGCTACAGTTTGCTCAGAGCTCATGACCTGCTGGCCCCTTTCTCTCTGCTTTTAAGCACATTAGGAAATAATGTTAACTGACAGCACTGCCTTGCAAATGGGATTCATATAACAATGTCTTAATTTACTTTTGGCTGTATTGTGATGCTTTACCTGCATTTTTTCAGGCTTTTATCACTCAGGTAGCAACTTTAGGAGTTGAACCCCTTACCACATGGTGACAGTTGAACTCCTTCATGACAGAGGCCTCGTTCAGAAACTCAACGCGCTCCCTCATGCTGGCCGACTCATTGGCTGTCTTGATAGCCACTCGCGTCTCGGGTTCATCCTTGACCACTCCCTTGGCGATGCCTTCGTACACCATGCCGAAGGAGCCCTGCCCCAGCTCCCGGTGCATTGTGATCTTCTCTCTGGCCACCTCCCACTCATCTGGGACATACACTGACATGCAACAACAAACAGCAGGTTACACCAAATACGCACAGAAAAGTATAACACTGAAAAATTGTGAAAATATTTTATATTCTTACTCTCAGCAGCACTGAAGTACTCTGGATTGACAGACGCATAAAGGACTCCATTCCCCAGTCTGTCGCTGTTCCTATTGATAAGAAACATAATTCAGTTGGCCAGCAGGCAACTCTGTGTATGGATGGGATATGTACAGTAATTGTCTAGAAAGTCTGCTCTTTACCACAGGGAAATGTTAATGAAAACAGCCTATTAACTCCAATTAACATTACACTGGTCATTAAGTTTCATGAGCGCAGCATGATAGAACAGTAAAATCGAGCAACTTTGTCAGTGTACAAAGCATGTTCGTAAAGATACTTGCCTCTTTTTGTTCACAAAGAAGAGAATTGTAATGAGGCCGGCAATGAAAAAGATTACTATGATGGGAATAATGATGGCCAAGTAGAACATAACAGTATCGGGTCCTGTAGGACAAAAAAACAAAAATAAGAGTGAATAGCACTGACTAAAGATGTCATTCTTTATCTAATTTAAATTAGTCAAGAGAAATTATATAGTATTTAAAGCTTTCCACCCTAGCAGTCCCAGTACTAGGACCAGGCTGGGGCATGTCACCGAGCATGGCTGATTTAGCTCTCCAAGGTTTACCAAATGCCTAAAAGTAATGGTATTGCATTGCTGTACTTCATTTAAACTGCGTCAAATGTAGTAGAGCTGCAGTTCAGAACTTTTAAGACAGGTTCAGAAGCATCAGTGCTGACTGACTCATCTCTGGTCTAATGATGGAGACAGGGACAATGTATTTAAAAAATTTAGTAAATGTCATTTATTCATAATACCCAAGGTTGTTCTTTTTTGGCCTTACCGTTGTAGAGCTACCACTTACTGCATTTGGGTTACACTTTTTCAAGTGAACAAAATAAATAAATCAATCAAAAATAACCAGAGCTTTAATGTGAGAGAAATGTTGAATTACGGTTGGGTGGAGACACATAGAAGGACCCTCTTTCCGTCCAGGAGCCGTTCCCTGCTAAAGAAGTGGCCCGCACAGAGGCAGAGTAGTTTCCCGGACCCAGGTTCATCAGGCGAGCTCCTCTGTGCTCGCGGTACTGCTGTCGCGATACACACTCGTGTTTCTCAGGCTAAAAGAAAACAATCACATTGTGGTTATTGCTTAAAAGACTCAAGGTCAAGTAAGGAGGGTAAAACTGTGAACTAACACTAAGGACTTTTAGAATCCACACTCTGCTCAAAAATGTGTTTTGCTTATTGTTACTTTGCTTGGATATTTGATCATTGATGTGCAGAACAATGCAGTTTGACACTGGAACGCTGTTTTAAATCTGTTCCTAAAAATTTTTAGTTCAAAATGTTTTTCTACAAGACTATTTTGCGATGATATCACAACTAATTTGCGGTTCATCACAGTCGAATATGTAACTTAACAGTGTCACACATAATGTGGCAACAACATATACACATGGAGCTTTCTGTGTAGTAGGAGAAATCCTGTGGCCAGCAGACAATATTTGCATGTTCATAGATTCTAGATTTCTAACAGGATCTTTCATTAGACCCAATCTGGCTCACCTCAGACCCAAGACGGAACTTGATCTCATACATCAGGATGAGTCCATTGGGCATGATGGGCTCTGGCCAGTGCAGCACCACACAACCCTCAACCTCGTCGTTCCTCTCATAGATCACTTTTCCAGGGATGTCATCTGCTTTGACTGGGAAATATATACACAACATTACAAGCAGCATCTACAGTTTCAGAACGATTCGTACATCACGTTGTGCCACATTTCCATCATAGATTGTATCCAGGTCAGTTTCTCACTTGCGGGTTTTGTCCTGGAGTAGACAAATGCTCCAGCACTGCAGCGCCGCACCTCCTCGTTGCAGGCATGGATGTCAATACGGTAGACTGTGAAGGGCCGCAGGTTGAGGATCTCTAAATATTCCACTGTGCTCTTGTCTTCTGAGAAGGGGTACTCTTTGACAGGAGGAATGCCATCTGTACCGTTATCCCCTGGGCCAAATGTGGTGTTCCACCTACCAGCACTCTCAGGAAACATTGTGTTGTTAGCCACGCCAAAAACATCTCTACGTCGACGGTCTGGAGGTCTGAAACACAGACACACAAAATGCAACAGCTGTAAGAAAGTTGATTTAAGTACAGGCAGCATTATTATGACAATAAAAGATAAAAAGGTATACAATATGTCCTGGAAATGCTATTATAACAAGTAAGTGTAGTTTTATAACTCCCAAAAGCATTAGATACAAAGCTTAAGCATCATGTTGAACCATGTGGAGTGCGTGTTAGTGTGTGTGTTTGTGCATGAACACCATGTGTCCAAACGCTGCGTACTACTACCGGTGGAGCTGTATAGAAGGATGAGGTCGGAGGGATCATAGCAAGGTGGACAGATAGATATGGAGAAAAACACAGACACCAAGCAATAAAAGAGCTGAAAAAGATTAAATATAGGTCAGACAGGAAATATGGCTTTTATGACACTGATATTCTGAGTCCACATGTTCAATCATGACGACCGGTATTCTGCATCCAAACAGAGGGCACTGTGGTGAATATACGTGATTTCATAGTGCATGTATTAACCCAAAACTTTTTTAACATTTGCTTTAAAATGACTCATTTATTCATTTAGCTGCTTTAACATTCCTCTCTGACAGTTATAACTGGTGTGGTACAATCCAAAATCTGGTGCTCAAAATCAGTTACTGCTGACAATTCAGCAAATATACAGTATATGAAAACTGACAAGAAAGTACAGACACAGATGTGTGAATCCAATTCAAAATGACTAGTAAATCTTGAGCTTTACTTTATTACAAGCAGCAGAACCAGAGCAAGAGAGATGGACAGAGAGGCCAGATGGAGAAATACTTGAGGATCTAATTTATGTACATGCAATAAGAGCATTATATTAAGCAGGGCAGCCCTGACACTGAGATAAGGCTCCTCAGCTGACGCATGACCTTATAACTACTGAATTACTACAGTCAGTGTCGTAACATCACCTGCTATAAAGGGATCTACTTTTACGCAATAAAATCCAGAGAGGACTACACATTCAGTCTGTGGCTAGTAGGGCACATTAGTAGTGCGCATGTACACACACAGCACTCACAAACTCAGACTCACAAAAACAGATAAAGTAACTTCCAAAGAGTTCCATGAGTCTCAGCAGAGGGGGATTACAGTAAATAAACTGTCCCATCAGCTGATGATAACAGCTTTTGGATCATACAACAAGGTAAGACAATGACAGATATCCTTTCTGTGTAGGCACCTTCTTCTCTTCCAGTAAAGTAAGTCTGCCTTCCTGATTTTCTGTTGTGCTGATGGGGCTATTCCCTCATTCATTTCAAATTCCAGATGGATTCACTGTACACTTCCTGGCAGCTGTCATGGGCCAGAAAAAGAGAGAGAGAGAGAGAGAGAACACAACAACAACAAAAAAGAAACGAGTCTCAGACAAAGAGAATGTGCAAGGGGAGGGGGAAAGTGGAGTGCTGAGTGGAGAGGGACAGAATGGAAAACATTTTCTCTTCTTTCTGTTTTCACCCTCTTTCCTCTCACCCTGGGTCTAAACCCTGAACTTTGGAAAAAAAAACACCCAGATTTTCAAGACCTTTCCCTGGAGTGGTGTGTAATAATGCTGGCTCTGTGTGGAGAGCCTGCACATACACAGATCTTCACTGCAGATCCGGGACTTGCCACCCGCTAATCACACAATATATTGATCAAATTCCACAAGAGCATTGCAAAGGAAAAGAGAAGGGCACCATGATGATGTGTGGATGGATGAACTCTGGAGCCTGCTGAGTGTTCTTAGTGAGGAACAGCAAGTACATCAAGGGTCTCCATGTTTTATTGTGATAGATGACGTAGTGAGGCAGAATATTAAACCACCAATTCACAAACAGTCTTCCAATCATTCATAGCCATGAGCAAGGTAAATAAAAATACAACACAGATGTTAGTCCCTACTGTGAGGGACAAAGGTCTAAGCAGCTATGAATGAGCAACCAAATTTGACCCTTCAGACTCTTAAATCACATCCCTTTCCTGGGTTTACCTAACATTTCCTGTGCCATGGTTGCCAGGGCAATAGAAAGCCACAACAGCGCTAAGAAGGCTTTAGGCCCCATGCAATACGTCTCCTGATCTGCACTGATGGACAAAAGGGTTGAGCCAAGCTGGGAGGCTCAGTCCCTGTCCGGTTCTTCTATGCCCTCATGCTTAGAACTTGTCACCTCCACAGAGGAGCCATTATGCCTGGGCCACCACCTCATTGCTCATTTTGACCCATCAAGACAAACAAGTGCAGCTCTTTAATATGATTGCCATCTCCTCAGAATGAAAGGAAGCACAGAGCAGGAGCTGTAAACAGTTTAAAGAGTTCACTGTAAGGCTGGCATTATATCTCCATCTGAGGTTTACTATACCTTGGCAGAAAGATGGCATTGTGAAGAAAGTTTTCAAAAGCTTTTAAAAGGACGCGGTCGACCTTCTTTTGGGCCATCTCCTCTGGTGTCTTCTGACAGGCACAGCATGGGCCCTTCTCTGCCCCTGCCAGGTCTGACTTAGTGGGCTTCATGCACTCTTCCGTGTCTGTGAGCCCTGTTGCTGGGATTCGGATTGGGATCTTCAGCTCTGTTTTGAGAGAAACCAAGGGTATTTAATGGCAGGCAGCAGTGTGCATTACTAAAGCAGCTGTTCAGAATATTTTTTGACATATTTCCTGTACAGATTTATGTTTCAACAATAAAGAAATAGATTAACATTTTGTGAAATACACATATTTGCTCTCTTTCCAAGAGTAAGATGTCTGTACATAGTGTAAATATGAAGCCACAGCCAGCAGGCAGTTAGCTTAGCACTGGAAAAAGGTGTAGCTAGCCAGAAACACACACACACACACAAAATGCAGCTACCAGCACCTCTTTAATGCTCAACAATGAACATGTCTTATCTAGTTTGTTTCAGCCATACAAAAATTAAAGCAGGAAAACAATTTGTGCCTTTTCCGTTTCCAGACTTTATGCTAAGCTAAGCCAACCAGCTGATCTGTCAAGTATCATATATAGCACACAGACGCAGAGGTGTGAATGTGTGTGTGAGAGTTACAATCTACCCATCTAGCTCTCAGCAAAAGAATGTATTTCCAAAATTGTCAAACTATTCCTTGCAATAATAACGAAGGGCTCATCAGTAGCCAAACTCAAGACAATTAAAAGATGCCTATTGGTTTTTTCTGTTTGTTTTTTAGTATAAGCATGTATACCTTTAGAGCAGTAGTTGTGTTGGTAGAGTTCCCTGTCCTCAGGCTGCTGCTGCCAGCGGACCAGGTAGTAGGTCAGATTACCATTGGGAAAGACTGGAGGTGACCACTTTACCACCAGCTTGGTCGAGGAGTTGGCATATGCACGAGCATCTTTTGGTATAGAGGGCCCTGCAATAGAGCCAAAGTCATTGTTTTAAGTTGTTGTTCAAATGTTTTTCTCATTACATACAGTGATTACTGAGAAGGCTGCATCACTGATAATTTCCAAACAGTGTTATTGAGTGATGATCAGGACTTACATGATGGGCGTGTGCGAATGTAGACTATATCACTCTTTGCCCCAGTAATGTGTTTGTCCTGCACCTGCAGGGTAATGGCCTTCACAAAAACAGCATACTGGGTCCAGGGCTTCAGGTGCTGAAGAGTGACTGTTGGGTCACTGTTTTTATCCTGAGGAAGATCCACATCCACCATGTGCCAGCTGTTTGAGCCACAGCCATCCTGGCCGTCAAACTCTGTGATGTTCTGGAAATGGCTGGTAAAGACACAAAACACAGGCTCTGCATTGACAAAAATTATTTTATTTAAAAGTGACATTAATGTAAAGTGCGCACAGTGTTGACTGGAGAAAAATATGCAAAACTAGATATGGTTGTCTAAGATCATTTTCATAAAATCACTCATTGTGGGTCAAATCCTGTGTGTTGGAAGCATTCAGTTCTCAATTTCAAGTACCATGTCCAAAAAAAGATCAGGATTCTATATGGGGAAATAAATCTTCAATCATATCCACGCTGCCTCAATGTAGTGTTAATTGAGTGTTATTGAGTATGATGAATTGCATGTACTCACGACTCCTTGTAGTAGACTATGAAGCTGATAAGGTCTCCATAGTCCGGCGGCTGATAGCGCTCCCACTTCAGCGTGATCACATGGCTTTGTGTGGTATTAGACTTGAACTTCAAAATATAGCTTTCACCTAAAACAGAGTAGGACCCTCTATGGCACACGCAGTATATACAAAACAGTATTTCATAGGTCCTTCGTTATCTTAAAGAAAGAAGCAACCTGTCAAAGATCAGGTGAATATACTCACAGCTGGCTCGTTCACCGTTGTTACGGAAATCACCCTCCTCTGGCTTCACAGTTATCCCTGTCTTTGTCCACATGGTGATAATCTCAGACATGCAGAGTTTGGGGTTCAGGCGGAAGAAGAGACGACCAGCCTGAATAGTCAGGTTGTGCTGACTCCAGTCCCACAGGTGCTGCAGGTGCTGGTTGTTGATGGCGGAAAACGAATACATGCTAAAAATTAAAGGAGATCAAGAGGAGGTTACTACCATCTCATGTAGATGAACAATAACGTTTTGTTATTGTATGTGAACACATTTCATGGAAGTGAAATGATCAGAAATATGGTTAAAAGGAGCTTTTTTTCTTGCCACTCGGTAGGGGCATTAGGGTTAACAGCCGAGGACATCACACAAACTCAAGTCTTTGAGAGTCTTGACAATAAGCCTAGGTTTGTACAGAGAAGAACATGAGGACCTGAAACAGAAAACAATCTGGACTCTAGCAGCCCAAGTAAAACAGCTGAACACCTCCAGAGCAAAGGGAATTTCTGCCACCCTAAACAGCATTCCTCTGAGTGAAATTTTACCCTGGGAGAAATGGCAACAAGAAGGGCAACAGGCTTTCTCATGACCCCTCTGACCACTACCATAAAAACTTTCCCTCCTATCTAAGAATGCTGCTGATATCGCAGCAAAGACAGGGCTCATGGACCTGACACTTTCCATTCAGATTTGCAGTCACACTCACTTATCAACCTGTCTGCAATACTTGTACAATGCAATACAAATCATTTTTAAAACGATATTGTAATATCTTGAAACAAACACAAGATCTTAAAGGTTATATTTACATTTATCAATTTAGGTAAATGTGCAAATCCACCATCCAGGCCAAACAACAAATTTCTGACATTTATGCACCTTCAGTGATAAGTTGGTGGCAACCTCCCTGCTTAGGCTGCGCTTTGCTGATGCCCTCTATGCTCTCAGATACCACAAACATGCACGGACACATTCGCCGGCAAAAAGTGCAGACAAGCCTTACTTGTCGATGAGTTCCTGCCCATTGATGTAACGCAAGCTCTTGAGGAAAGACAGCGAGCCAAGTGCGTGGGAGTGTCGAATCTTCACGTAGCCTGTCACTGTCTGGATCAGTCCCATGAAGCTCTCCAGCTCAGACGCTATGTTATCTGGGGACAGTAGATAAACACGCACAGAGATACAAAACAGCCCATGAAAAAAAAATGCATATGGGAAAAAAATAATAAAAATCACAGGGATCGCTAATGCAAATATCCCAGTAAGCACTAAATTGTACAAGCTTAATTCATATGTGGAGATTAGCCTGCAAGCCACCCTATCTGAGCAAATAAACAGCATTATGGTATTATGTGATGGTTGGGTTAGAGTGTAGGAAGTGTAAGAATGTTGATTTTGTGGCCCCCACTGTGCATCCCAGGAGCTTCGGCTACCAGGCTCTTCTATTTCACCTGCCTCAGTTATCACAATATTTGCATTTCAATCAAATGAATAACAGTGTAGTAAAGTTAGCTGCTGATGAAGTTCGGTCCACTAAACTTTCCTGATGTGTACAAAAATGTTGTATGGACTATTAAGTTACACTGCAGTTTACTGTATATGAGGTGCATAGGTGCACTCACTTCCACGGCGGATGTTGATATCCAGATTGCCCTCAATGACAGTACAGTCCTTCAGAGACTGAGCAGCATCCACGGAGTCAATGACGGGGGACGTGCAGAACTTATCACAGGGGCCATTACAGGCACTGCATAACATACTGTATAGAGTGGAATCAAAGAGAAAGAGTGAATGAGAAGAAAGAGGAAAGTAAAAACTGTCAAAGATTGAACTCTTCTACCTCACCCTGAAATCATTTGTCCACCCCCACCCCCCCCAAGCATTCCAGAGGACTCAGGCAAATAAATTCACTGCATGACATTAATTCACCTCTGACATGGAGATTTACACTTTTTTTTATGAGACTTCTTCTGAATTCTGTTTTGTGAAGGAGTGACTCATTGTATTGACCTCAGAGACAAAACTGCAGTTTTATGGCCAAAAAAATATACAACAGCAGAGTCAACATGGAAAGTCTGGGAACTAAAGAAACACCACACTGAGAAAAGCTGAAAACAAGTGTTTCTGTCCTAGGTTAATGTCAAACAAAGGAAATGTCAAGTGGACAAAGTTTGGAATGGTTAAGACACTTAAGCCGAGTCTCTTCTTAAAACCTTTTGAGGTGCGGTGGGTAGAGCAGTCGTCTCCCAAACGGAATGTTGAAGGTTCGAATCTCGGTGCCTGCAGTCCACATGTCGAAGTGTCCTTGGGCAAGACACTGAACCCCCCCCCCAAGTTGCCTGTGATGGTGGCGCGTATGCACGCAGCGGCCCGGGGCCCCTCGGCTCCAAACAAAACTTTCGTTGTACGTGTCACAATGTTACAATGACAATAAAAAAAATAAAAAAAAAGCTTCTAAAATACACCAGTGTTCTAAAGAAACAACTATACTGAGCACCTTTCACCACCTTTCTAAACAATCTGGCAAGTCCAAGTGTGAATTATTAACAGCCCAACATACTCTTAACCTGGAGCACTTGCAGCTTTGAAGCCTACTTTAAGAATAAACAGCCAGGTAAGGGGAAGTTCAGCTCAAGACAACACCCCCCAACACACATTAACAAAAAAATTTGCCAGGAATTAAAAAATAGTAAGACCCATGACTCTCTCTGTGAAAAAGATCAGGTTATGATCCTGTAAAAATTCAAATACACATCATTAAAGAAGAATATTTGTCATATCAGTTAATATCAGTTTTGAGAATCTTAGACAAAATGTAAAATTATTCATTTTAAGGAGCTCTTCCTAATATTCTGTATGTTTAGTGTGTCACCTGACATTTCCAAATCATCAGCACCTAAACTAGAAGAGAAGGATATGTCTTTACCGATTAGTCTCATTGCGCGTGAAGCCAGAGGGGCAGTCGGGCATACACTCTCTCCCATGGATGACAAAGTGAGTGTCACCAGGCAGGTGCACCTGAGAGCACATGTCCATGGTGATGCAGCGCCAACCCTCAAACTTGTAGGTGCCTGGGGGACAGTCTGGCACACAGCGGCCCTCGTGAAAGTAGTGGAGGCAGGCGGAGCAGGCCATATCATTGTTGGGTTCAGTACAGCTGCCCAGGCACTGGCTGTGGCAACAGTCCCCCTTGTCCGTACACGCAAGATTGCAGCGTTCTGGGCATACTGGAGAAGACAGAAAAACACAGGGAAGAGGTCAGTTGTGGGTTGTTGTAAACAGTCTGCATTGCTGGACGATATTACAACAATGTCAGGGATGTTAAAGGTCAAACAGATACTGAACTAAGGCTGATATATATGATCTGCTTTGTAACCGGCCAAAAGACAAAGAAATAGGTTTTAGAGAAGTAATATAGAGTCAGTGTGCATACACAGCATGTGCACATACACTCCCACTTTATTAGGTACAGCTATACAGCTGAATGCAATCCAGTGCAGTCTTTGTTTAAAAACTTTCCAAAAGGCCTCAGTTCAACTATATTTACTACTGTGGTCTTAGTGTTATTATACCTTTAAAAATATTTCTAATATTCTTCCTCCCTCATGTAAACAGGGTGGGCAAAAGATTAGAAACATTTCTCAATATAATGTAGACTAGCAGCTGAAAACCACAACCTCAGAAATAAACAGATTAATATCTGACTGCATTACATTTTACAGGTGTACCTAATAAAGTGTATAAACACCTGTAAATAGGAGGATGTTTTTGTGTGCATGGCCGGGCTGTGCTGGCCTCAAGCGAAAAGGTGAAGAGTAGAGTCGGGTTCTGGAATTAGCAAAGTGCAAAACTGGGGTCAGGGCCGCGCTCAGAGAGGAAGCAGAGTGCCAGCAGGGTGAAAAGCCTGTGCCAGCTGTTTTGATAAACCACAGAGTTGGTCTCACTTAATGTCATCACAGAAAACAAATTCCTGCTAGTCTTGCATCCTAAAAGTCACAGCAAAGAAAACCATTAAAAATCTGAATATCTTTACAATAAAATTTTATTAGTGAATTGTTAAAACAAAAACAATATGGGTGTCTATGCCGTGTCTGATTAATATTGTGATATAATGAAAGACAAGACAGTTGCAGCTCAAACTAAAACAACTTCCCACCATAACAACAGCTTCCAGGACACTACTGTACATCCTTGTGGGCTGTGAGAAAAATCGACAGAAATTACTGTGTGGGGCGTTTTAAATTAAGTTTGAGCAACATGAATAATTAAAGCTCCTCACTGTTTACTGAGCATGACTGAGAAACCAAAACCCCAAACAATAGGTTATCAAAAACACAGAACTTTCCCACTGCTTAGGACAGACAGTACACATACAGTCGGTCAGATTTATCTCACTGAGCTTGCAAACTGAGCAACATGGCAAATGGGAGCCATCTGTTTTTGATGTTTTTTTGCTGTAGCCTATTTATAGAGAATCACTTCAGGAAAAGCAAATGTAAAGGGAAGAAAGCAGACAATTCCCACAGCTAACTAATCTTGAGATAGTGCAGACAGGGTTGTCCTAGTTTCAGATGAGTCCACTCTATAGAAAAAGCACCTGGAGTGTGCACTGACCTGCATGAATGCTTGTGAAATGCCTGGTGAAAGGTGTTTTCTGCTAATGATGGTTCCCTGTTTGAGGGGTTTGTCTCAAACAACAAGTCAAGTTCAGGTTTCTTTGGGGAAAACAGCTGAGAAATCAATGCACTGTTTTGTTTAAATATGGCTTTTTTGCATATTAGAAATTCTTTAAGCAGCACAGTCCTGACAAATGTTTACTAAAACACACATTGCACCACTCTTTTTCATGGGTTTTATTCTAATTTGTAAGACTGTCAGGACAGATATTACTTCCCTTTTATCAGTGTCAGACTTTTAGCCATCTTCATGATACACACTTTTACAAGTGTGATTAAAAAAAATTGCGAACATGTGCACATGCACGTTGGTATGTGACTATCTATAAGTGCCAGAGAGAAAGAGGAAAAGGACGCCTGTGTGTTTATTAGCTTTCAAATTAAACACGTCAGCACATCCATGTTTCACTTTGTGAATCAGTCAAAAAAAAAAACAGCTGCTCTCAATGAATATTTTATGTTGCTTTACAAAACATCTGTGTAGATTAGGAATGTGATGGTGAACTACAGCAATGCTGCAGAGCAAATACACACTCCCACAGTGTCAACTCAAGTTCCCTTCACAAGGGAGGGGGAATGATCGGTCTCAATCCTGACAGCTTTCAAATTCTTTCTCACATTCAGTCAAACCTAATAATGCAGAAGAGGTGAAAAGGTTTGTCTGGAAAAGTCCTTCAAGATTCTGTGACCAAAAAAAGTTCCACAGGCCTAATAAAATATTTGTTTGTTCAGTACACTGCAGAAATTTCCAATAACTGTCTCCTGATAAACCAGACCTTGAAGTTACTGCAGTTACTGTCAATAAAATAATGTTCTTGAATGCACAAGTAAACAGAATATTTTGCTATATGGCTGCCTTGTGCTATGTATAGCTTCACACTGCGTGCACACCAGGAGCTGCCTGGCTCTGCTGTACTTCATAAATACTGTATCTAATTATAGTGGATCTGGTCCAAAGCAAATTGCAAATATCTTTTTAAAACTACAGCATCAAATGCCAACACATAAATGTTTTCAAATAACAGCTGAGATCTAACTGGAAACATGATGCTGACATTAGTGTGTTTAAAGCAGGCAGATCAGTGTTGCACATGTGCAGAAACATCAGCCAGGTTTCATTTTCTTGGAATGCTACCAAAAGGGGGCAGCCAAGGCAAACTCTAATGAGCCTTATTGGATTTGCCTCCCTTCTGCATCATTTTAACAGATTCCTTAGTGAAGAGAAATACCAAACATGCATACCTTCCTCCAGAAGAAAGCAAAAGGTGGGGGAGTCAGTGCTTTAAATCCATATAAGTCAACCCGGTTTCGCTGTGTGCCCAAACAACCTGTGGTATCAGGGATGCAATCTTCTATTTATAGATGCTCCTAATGCAGCCCTATTTCCATACTGCTGCTCTCTACACATAGCTATGCAGGGCATTGTGGGTTTCCACTGCCTGAAAGGAAGGGGGATGACCTAACAAGATGCTCCTCTTGAGATAAGCCATCATCTTTGTGGTCCCCTGAGAGGATGTTTAATATGAGTAGAAATAACTTAGAGGTATCAGCAAGTTGGGATTTGACCCTCTTTACCATAAATTGCAAAAAACAAGCTGTGGGTGTGGGGAGGTATATGATGTTATTCCTCTCATATGGTAGTTACACAAGAGACCCCCAACCCCCTGCCTTTCCTTGAGCAAACACAGGTCAGATCAGACACCATAGCCAACCACCAGCCCACCCCTGCTGTTCACCAGAGCACTGCGACACAAGGAGTAGCGGGATCCATTTCATCAAGAGTAAACAAGACAAGAGTCAGCACTGATGAGTCTCCTTCTGAGCAGCTGGTGCATCACTATGACCACCATTAAATACAGCAGAAATGGGAGGAGGAGGAGGAGGAGGAGGAGGAGGAGGCATCACTAACAGGGTGAGAGACAGAAAAGTGCTGGCCACTGTATGTTTTTTTTATTATACAAGTACCCTCCGCTGGCCGCTGTGAAGAATCTGCAGAATGTTCCACGCCTCAGAACATTTAAGGGGGAGAATGTTAATCTCTCACTTCACTGCTGCAGCAACACAACAACAAAATCAGGAATTGCTACAGACACTTGAGAAGAGGAGGCGGCTTTAACTATGAACATGCTCATTGAAGGTGAATGTGAGATAAGAAAAGAGGGACATATTGCTGAACAATTATGCTTTGGCCCAAAAAAAAAAAAAAAACGACGTGAGCCTGCAGCAGAGCAAAGTTTGAGCCAAAAGCATTAAGTGTAATCTGGCTGGCCCATAAACTGTACATAAAGACGGATGATGTGACAGCTCCCCTAAAAGCTACCACAAGTCAGCTGATTGCACTACAGGCCATAAACCGTCATAGTCCCACCCATATTAACGAATGGGACAGGAGTGAAAGTAAAAACTCAAAGTGCATATCAAATCCATTTTTCCCCAAAGGGGATTTCTGTCATTTTAGGTAGATATCATCACTCTGATCTGTTTACGAGTAGTCGTTTTTCTGATTATTTTGTTTTAATAAGTTACTTGACGATACAAAAAGGGGTGTATTTCTCATAACTGACAACATTCTATTGGTCATCTGATACCGTCGTGCCACCTTTTGTCACTAATGTGCAGGATCTGGCTGCATAAGAAAAGCAAGATGGCCACTCCCACACTTACGACATTGTGGCTTCACTTTTGCATAGTGAAAGGAAGTGTGATGTGTTGTCTGACAGTCTATGGGCTGCCCTTTCCTTCTTAAAAAGCAGAATGCATGGGGATTCTGGGTCATGTGATGCACATCGCTACCCTTTCCCAATGGTTATTACAGTATTGACAAAAAATATATAAATAAATTAAAAAAAAATAGATAAGAGGCTTAATTTCATGTGTGCATGTTTTTATTGCATTGTGTGGACAAATTTGTGTCCAGTGCCATCGTCATAAGAGCATTTTGGCTGGTCTGCACATCTTCAAAGGGCTTTTTGGTGTGGATTCATTCAGAGTTCAGCACTTCTAATCTGAATGCAAGTCATATCCTGTTTGCTAGATAGCATGCCACATAAGTGGACTACTACTATGTTTACATCTGGAGGATGGTGACACATTTACCACCAGCAGGCCACACTTCATCTAAACACTTCATCTAAAGATGAAGTGTGGTGTGAAAACATGAGGAGTTTCGTAAGCCGATACAATTTTCCCACACCAATAAACATAAAAATGATCTAATGAAAGATGAAATACTTCATTCTTCATACCACATAACACTATGTTCTCCCTGTGTCATTGTAGATAAGCAGGAAGTGTGACAGACAGTTGGGAAATCATTCATTATTCACAGTAGAGCTTGGGGAGAGGGATGGCAGGGAGGAGGGTGTCATGGATGAGGAGGGTGGGGGTTAAATTAGGAGCCATCTGCTGGACCAATAGCAGGGAGGCAGGGGAGGTTCTAAACCTGATGATTGACATGTTATTGAATCTGGAGCAGAGATGGTAAACAAGTCCTCTCTTGAGCAGGCGTTGGGAGGAGGGAGTCATAACCATAGTGATTAAGCTTGGCTTTT